GGGGGTGCCCCGGGGCGCGGCATGGGGGGCGGGCGGCTGGGGTGCGGGCCGGGCCCGGCGCTGACCGCCTTCCCTCTCTGCCTCCTCCCAGCGCTGCAGAGATGCGAGGGGCGAAGAAGCGCCAGGCGCTGCCCGCCATCGTGCTCCTGCTGCTGGCCTCGGCCCCGCCGCCGCCGGGCGCCGAGGGCAGGGACGTGCCCGCCGCCGGAGCCGAGCGGGGGGCGCTCCTCGACATCCTCCTCCAAGCCCTGGGCGACGACGGCCGCCCGCTGCCGCCCCGCCCGCCGCGGAGGGACCGGGTGATCTCCCGGCGCTACAGCGGCGGCAGTGCCCCTCCGACAGACCCCCGCGCCGCCGCCGCCGCCGCCCCGCCGCCCCCCCGGCTCTTCGCCACCGCCCGGCACGGAGGTAAGAGACGCCGCGCTGCCCCGCGCAGGGAGCTCGGGGGTGCAGCCCCTCCGGATCCCGTCCCTGCCGCTCCCTCCGGCGGCCGAGCCCGACGGCTCCTTTGCCGGCGCATCCCGCTGCGGGAGGGAGCGGGCGAGCGGAAAGCGGGTCGGGGGATGCTCTCCCATCGCCCCGGGGCTGCCACGGCGGGTGCTCTGCCTTTGCTGAGTTCGAGCCCCGCTGAGGGCAGCACAGCCCAGCCCCGCTCCCCGGCTGGAGCTGTGGGGGTATCCGCGTCGGAAGGGAGGAGAGGGTCACTGGGACTTCGGCACCTTCAGCCGGGAAGTCAGCTGCGACCACCATTGATCTACAGCCCCTCAGAGCCAGCCTTCCAACTTCCCTATACTGCAGCACAGCACTGGGGGAGCCCCATTTCTCCCCAGTCTTAGGACGGCTGCTCTGATCTGCACAAAGAGGATAAATGACCGATCTGAGCGACACCCCTCTAGACATACTCCTTTAAACTTCCTCTTCAACTTTGCTGGTTCCCGTGTGATGCACTTCTCTAGTTTCGCAGGGCAGGTGCAGAGGGTCCAGACCGAGATGGGCATGGGGCTTATTTCATCTTTCAGAGGACGCTCAAACTGGGTCAGGGAGCACTGCAGCACTGACACGGGCCAGGCCTGGCAGGGACAGCAGGGACAGTTCAGGACCAAGCACAGCTGCCTGCTGATAGTCACAGTGTCCTTGGCCAGGAGACTGACACTTCTAGGCTTGATGTAGAGCCATGCAAAAGCATCTCCTCCTGGAGCAGAGCTGCCTGAGGGGTCTGTGTGAGTTAGGATGGTGCAGTGCTGCAAAAAAGGAGAATCTAGTGACTGTCCCTGCCTGTGGCCCATTAATATTTTTCTCTTGTCGTCTACCACAGACCTTGCTGGAGAAAAACCTAACTGAGGAAACCCAAGGAAGTTTGGTTTCTTAGGGATTTGTGTCCCTGGAGAGCGCCCTTGTGGCTGATGGCTGGTAATGGGTGAAGCTGAGATGCAGCCCTCCTAAAGTCTCAATGGTAGACTTATTCTTTTCTGTTCAGTAGCCTGTTTTAAATGAAAGGAAACTCCATTTTCGAAAAACTTGAAGTTGGGTGAAAAATGGAGAAGTTAATAGGTGAATAATTGATTGGTAGGGTGGCACTTGCGTAGGGAGATTGCTGCACGTTCTAAGGAAACTGGGATAAAATTTATCTATCAACAAGTAAACAATGCTCTGGCCATGGAAGCTTCTTAGCCTGATCTGCTCCAAGTATTGAACCGTACATCTGTAAGGGGGTGAATGTCCCAGTGAGCTTCCAGATATTCTTGCTTTTTCAGACCACAAAGTCTCTGGTAGTTATGGAAAGCCAGCCCAAACCAGACAGTCGCAGATTTGTGTGCTGACTGGAGAAGATGCTGCAGGTTATCAGCATGACTGGTCATAACTGTTTATTTGCTGTGGCTTGAATTCTTTATGTGCTGTGAACAAGACCACAGCCCAAGAAAAAAAGTAAAATGGTTTTTCAAGGCAGAGTACATGAAGTATTACATTCTTCTTTTCAAGAGAATGAAATATAAAGTAGTATAAACCTGAGAATTAGTCTCAGGTTTATACTTTGCAATAATTATTGCACAAATTACTATTATCAGGTGGTTTGAGGAAAAAATTCTGTTTTGTACAACAGCCTCTCACATTTGAGGTGTTTGCTCTTAACTAAATAATTCTATTTAACTATAGAAAGTAGAAATATTTCATAATATTTATGCAACTTTGAAGGGGAGTTTTCTTAAACCCATCAATATTATACACAGTAAGATAGTGTTTTCTGTTAGTTGTTACTTTTAGTAACTATGTTGTACACAAAAGGAACAGATGAAGATCCTTAGAGAAATTCTCCAGTTATCCCTGACATAGGTACAGTGTCCTAGGGCAGCCGCAAAGGCAGCTGTCTCTCCAGCCTAGAAAGAGCATTCTACAGTTTAAATAACAGTCCCATTTTTATATTCATCTCATTTTTTGTTACCAATACCAAGGATAAAAATTAGTACCTGTCATGATGGTATGTACTTGTTTTTTGGGATAGAGGACTGTGACAAGGTTTTTCTTACAAGTAATTAACTCTTTTTTATAACTCCTGTCACCAACACATTCATGGAAGCTTTTTACTCCAGCTGGTAGCACCTGATCATCAGCTGAACAGAACGGCTTATCTTAGCCTCAGACAGGAAAGTTGTTGCATTCAGTTGAGTAGTCAGCCAAGCATTTGAAACTGGAGTTATGTATTTTGATTGTAGCTGCTGAAAATCAAACCCAAGTGTCTGATTTAAAAGACAATTGAGCAGCTAATTACTTCTTTTGTTTGAAACAAAAAACATCCGGAATAGTGCTGTATACAGAACAGAGAATGCAAGACAAATAATTTCTGTGTGTTTTCTCTTTTCCTTTTTTTTTTTTTTTTTTTCTTTCTGAGATTGCTACTCTGTATTATCAATGAGTTGAATAGCAGGAGGAATTAAATGCGCTTCCTCTTCTGTTCTCTCATTCACTCACTCTCAGGACTCTCTCCAGCTTTAGTCTAGCCACTCACTGAGCTACAGCTCCACACTTATCTTTCTTTTATTTAATTCAGGGGCTTGGTTAATTATTTGTATAGTGAGACAGCTGACCTGGAGTACCACTGGGTGAATTCTAGGGGCAGCACAGGGCAAGTGGCTACAGCACATGTCCAGGGGTGAGGTTTGAGAGAGGATGGGACCTCCTCCTTAGATTGATGGGGTCCTGCTCATTTAACTTAGGCCATAATGGAAAACCTCAGCACCCTCAGGGCATCTTTGATGAGGCAGGAAAAGAAGAGTGAAACACTTGCCAGACATTGTACATGTACCACTCAGTTCAGATACATAAAGGGGATATGAAAGCAAGAGTGGTTTTGTTCTGTGGTACCCTATCTGGATGTGGCTCGCACGTGGTTCATGGACCGTTCCTTGGCCAGAGCTATGCCATGGGAATAAGAGTTGTGCTCTACTTCATGTGATTTTGTCACAGAGCAAAGTGGCAAGCCTTGAATAGAGTGGACACTTAAACCTGCTCAGCTGTGTGGGACAGTGTGATGCTGTGACCTGCCAGCAAAGAGCTCATTAGGTCGTTCTTGCCCCTTAATAACCAGGGTTATATTCCATGTCATGTGCTTCTTAACCCTTAGAAAATTTGTGTCATGGTTCTTGTATGACCCATGACACTTACATAGGCAATGGAAATACCAGTTTCACCAACACTTTAGCTGTCTTAACTTCTTATCTCTTTTATCCCTACATGTTCAAAAGTCTTACCTCACACAGATCTGTCCCTGTTTTTCTTGGTGACCTGATTAATGAGAATGAGCACTTACTCTGAACAGTACCTTTAGAAGAAATTCCAACTAACCAAAAAGCAATCTTCATATTTTCTACGATTCCTGGTAGGATGTGACTAAAAATACAAGTTGTTCCTTAGAGTTATTATATCCAGTAGGATTAAAATTTCTGTCATAACATCCCTTACTTGCCTGATTTCCATGAAGTTTTTATGCTTGAGTGTGATTTTATATTTTTCACTAAGAAGTGTCTTAAAGTTTTTTAATCTTAGTGATGAAAGCTCTTCAATGGGTAATCTTTTTTATAACTATCCCCTGCTTCTGGTGCATAACTGTGGTCAGCTTTTTTTATGAAGAAAACGTATTTTCACAAAGAGAAGATTCAGCTTCAGGTTATTTTTGGATGTCACGTCAGGGGAACTAGAATAGTTTGTCATTCTTCTTTGATTTTCTTTGTTACATTTATCCAAACATTTTCCTCAAAACCAGAATAGCTTCCATGTAATTAGATTTAAAGAATCTTGAGAAATAAAAATATCTGCTCTGACTATTCTTTCCTTACATATTGCCCACCACAGTGGAGAAAGGAGCTGTCTGAACAGTGTTAGGGGTCTGAAATTTCCCTTTTGTCCTGGGAGACCAACAAGACATTTTAAAACATTTTGAGTAGTCATTTTTCAAGCATGAAGGAATGAAGATAAATATTGCTCTGAGTTTATGGGTATGTTCAAATTAGCCTCCTGAGCATATCTACTTCAGATTTAGAATAACATATCAGAGAAGAGAATTTGGCCCTCAAAATATTTAAACTTTGAGGTTGCACTTACAAGTTCAGTTTTATGCCAAAATTTCTTACACATCAGCAGCAGAAAACTGTAAGTTGTCCTATGACATACTGCTAGTTTAATCATTATTCATCATGAATTAGATTTGAAAGATGTGTTTGAGGTTTGTTTTAGTTTATGGTTAAATCAAACCCGTGTATCCTATGTAAGGCATAGGAAGAGTTTTGTTCTTTTTCTTCACTTAAAAAAATCTCCCATAATTGTAGTGATAATTACAGCTGGAAGTCCCTAATTCTGAAAGACCTGCTGTGCCTAGTACTAAACTACTTCAGTGAATGTAATTACAGATCTTGAATAAAAAAAGGAGACCATTGAGGAATGTAAACTTGTCTCTAAGAAATTAAAATGTATGGTATAATAATACAGTGTTCTTTGCAATACTTAAGCCTCATCCAATTATTATTCTGGTTAATAATCTGGTTGGTTTTTTATTTCTTTTTTCTATTTTTCACTGTATTGTGTTAATAGGAATTGCTGGGCATTCAAAAACCTTAGAAGAAGATGGGAGTTAATAAAAATTACATTCTCCAAAATCACGTTTACCAAAATCACATTATCTTAGAAATTAACAAAATAGTGGATGAAAGTGGTTTAAAAGAAAAATAACTGTTACATTAAAAAAAATAGAAATAAATTCTTTTGATTTACAGTAATCATTCCTGATCCTGTAACTGACATTTTTGAATCAATTATTTTTACAGTAAAGTTGGTAGTTAGGCTTTTCTGAAACAAAACCAGACAAACATATTCTGCTTTTGAAAGATTAATATAATCCATATTCCAAATGGGTAAGG